GGGTTCATTGAGAACATGGTTGTTGTTCAATAATAAAATTATTCCTCAAAAATACAACTTGCCTAATAATTCTGCACTCCCTGTAGATAGATAGATAGATAGATAGATAGATAGATAGATATAGTGCGGAATGAGTAAAACTTCCTTAAAAAAAGTACTTTCAAATATGTAAAAGTTAACCAAAATTCAAAGTCTAGAAACTTCCAAGTACTGTTTCCAACTCTTTTTTTCCCCTTACTATGTCCTATTCATGATGTCAGAGCAGGTATCCGTAATATGAGCATTTTCGGGTGTGATCACAGCAGCCTCGCCCACCTGCTATCCAAACCTGATATGAGGGACCGCACCAAATCTAAGACGGTGATTTATGTTTTATTAGTTAATTTTTTGAACTGTGACTGCAAAGCTAGTCCAAGAATTAAAAATGTCACTAGAAATGAGTCCAATACATCCACTTTAAATCTGCTACAGTCAAACATGAAAACTCCTCTAAACTAATGACAAATAAACGAAGAGCACAAATTTGATGGAGTAGTCATTCGCCTTAAACAAATCTGAGTCCCAAACTGCTTCCTCCTCTAAAAAGCTGTGTGAGCTGTCTTAACATTTCATTTTCCATCCACATATTATGCCCTGAAACATTCCCACAAAGCAGAGCAGGACATTCACCTATCATAGACCTGAACAACACATTTACACTATTGTGGTCCCTCTTTCTTATAGTAGGGGTGCTTTTCAAATATTAAATGTTGTACTCTTGTTGTTCATAACCGGGACAATTCATTTAGATATTACGTGGGGCTTTTGTTTTTTTTGTTTGGTTGTTTTTTTTTGTTTGTTTGTTTTTTTTTAACACAGTGTTCTTACAGTCACTTGTTCACACGGAGGCATGTGTGTGTTGAGTTTACTCTGGTTAGTGAGTGGTAGCACAGGTCAGGGCAGAAGGCACTGCTAACCACCCGCACTGACAAGCACAGCACTGTTCAGCCCAGGCTGGCACACTTCACTCGTGCTGTGATATTATCTCCTCATTCCTCTGTGAAATGTGTCATCCACTTGATCCTGCTGTGTGTGGGTGTGTTTGTCCCAGTGGCTCCAACCTGCAGTGAGTATTTATAGATCATATATAATAGTCCAGGGTGTTGGTGTGCAGTTGTATGGTTATTGGCACGCGTTGCAGATATGAAACCCCCTACAGAGGCATTGCATCGCCCCTCTGCTTCACTGCAGTGACCTCTGATCCTTGTGACCTCTCACCCCTAGCCCAGCTTTTTCGATTGACGATAGACCCTCCTGCTGAGGGAAGTCTGTGCATATTGTTGTAGTACTAAAAATTCCCCCCCCCTTGAAACCTATGCTGATTTGGTTTTAGTTTATGTCATTCTCTAACTATAACATTTGTTTGTTCCTGTCATACAGGTGCCAGCCCCCTGCAGACCAATGGTGTGGGACACACAGCACGGGCCTATGCTAAGGAGGGAGAAGTGAGCACTTTGCTGCAGGAGTGGGAGGGCAAGGTATAACACATAAAGGATATGCAAAACTGCATAACTGCAAAAAAACCTCCTTTTTGGTTCCCCGATGTGGATTAACAGCAGTTAGGT